TTTCCAACCATGGTGATTCTATGATCTCAACCACCACTTTGCTTTTTAGTAAAACAACTGGCATGAAAGTCAGATGAATGTACACCAAAGCTTTTTCTCTTCATCATGCTTATAAGATGGTACTGGGGAGCTGTCATTCTGACTGGTACCTAATTTAGCAGGGAGAACTAAGGGCAGGTCAGGGAAGTAATCAGAAGCAACTGAATGTCATTTTATTTGGGGAGACACCACATTAATGCCTCTTTGAAAGTTACTCTTCAAATTTAACATGACTTGCACTTCTAAATTTCTTGCAAGTACTATAAGAGGCAAATTTTTTGCTTGGTTCTTTGATAAACACGGAAGTGATAAGCTGAGGAAGTTATTGTAAGCAAGGATGAAGAATGGGCTTGATTTTTTTTTTCCTCTTTTTCCTTTTAGTATTTTCTAAACTTCTGTGTGGCCCTTCAGGGTTTTTTTCTGCAAGACTGCTTTCCAAAATAACTGAAAAACCCAACTTCTCTTTTCTTTCAGCTACCTTACTATGGACCAGACACGAAAACTGATTTTGCTGCTCGAATCTGACCCCAAGGCTTATGCTCTGCCATTAGTTGGAGTGTAAGTGTTTTGCTTTGTTTGTACAGATGAATACCCATACTGATTTGAGATGTATTTGAATGATTGCATAGTGGAAAGCTAGTAATGGAACTGTGTCTAATTGGATGTTTCTTCTTACTTCTAGTTGGCTAAGTGGAGTCACTCATATCTGTAGTCCTCAAGTTTGGGCCTGTTGCTTGCGATATTTATTCAGTTCTTCAATTCAAGAAAGGCAAGTCACTTTTAGCTGTAAACCACAGAAGCTATTGGCTGCCTAAAAATGCATTTCAAGTTCAAAGGTGTCTGAGGAAATTCTGTGATTTATATGTTATGCAGGAGGTTAGGCTGTCTGTTTTAATTGTGCTTTCTGGTTTTGACTTCCACCCTACAAATTTTCTGTGACTGGAGTTTAGAGAGCTGGACTGACCTCTCAAAGACAGAGGAGTTAATGTCATTAGGATCACTGTATTTTAATTTCAATAAGAAGCAGCAAGCAGGAAATACTTTAAACAGTGGTGGGGTTTCGGTTTCGAGCTTTTCTTAGGGGTGTTTTCTTTGACAGAAGCTTCTTCCCTGGCTGTATCTGACCAACATATTGAAGCCTATTGATTTGTGGCTGATACCATGTTGTTATGACTTTCTGCTAAATATTCTGGTTTTGTAGGTTTTGCATTCTGTTTTGCTTTGGTTTTAATTATAAAGTTAGTAGACAATGGCTCCTCATTCTCTACATCTTTTCACTTCTAACATTTGCCAAGTTCTATTTGTATGGAAGCGAGTTCAGGTGTTTATAGTTTAAAAGTACTTTTCAAGTAGAAGAAACTTAAAAATATGCTATATGCATAAAAATTTCCTCTACTTGACCACACTTGCTTTTAAATTATAAAATAAAACCACATTTGGTGAACAGATGTCTGTAATTACAGAATAGACTTTTTTTCCCCTTAACAATTTAAATATGCCCAAGTACAGATAAGAGCCCAATTAGATTATTAGATAGACAAGTTAGATGCTTGACTCTCATTAACTTTCACTGATTCCATCTTGAAAGTGGATTAGGCAGATTTGATGAACCATGGAAACAGAATTAACCTCTGCAGACTAACCGTTTAATCTGTGCATCATGCATTTTTAACACTTAAGTTGTAAGTAGAGCTTTAAAGTGGTGTATAAATGCATCTTTCAAGCATCTTGTTCCTACTGCATTTTCTGTTGCATATACTGTTGTTAAAAACTCCAAAACAAACAAACAAAACCCAAAACCACCCCTACCACCTTCCCCACCACCTCCCACAAGTATATTACAAGTGCTATAAAAAGAAAAATTTTTCTGAAAGTAGCACTACATTTTCTTGTAAACACATGTTATTTTCATTGTCCTTGCTCGTTTGTGGTAAATGTTGACTGTTACTGTTCTCAATGTGTAGAAAAAAATTCAATATATTTTTTTCTTCAAAAACAAATATCTGCTTACTAATGAGCATTTTTTGAATGTTTAGGCATAACTGAAACACTTAATGTCTTTGTAATGCATCTTCAATTGAGTTATGAAAAACAAAATCACTATATCATTTTTACAGATGTTTTCTTCTGTGCTATGATTGAAGTCTTCCAGGAGTTAATTTAAAATGTTAAATGATCCTAAAGGTTTGAACCAGAAAATAAACAAATTATTCCCATTTCTCTCTTTTACTTTGATTCTTGCATGTGGCATCAGTCATAAACCCATCTGCCCTATCTGTAGATTATCTATCACTCAAAATGCAATGATTCACCTGTTTGCTAAACTATGTGATAGTTTGCTCAGTATGTTGTGAAACTAAAGGCTTTCCTCCCCTTTCTTAAGGTTTTTTTTTTTTTTAAGATGTGTTTGGTTTTTTCCCGTTTCAGGGTTTTTTCAGAATCTGGGAGTTTTCTTATTGTGCTTTATTCATTGACACACAAGGAACCAGAGTTTTACGAATGTGTTCCGTGCAGTGGACAGACTGAGCCAGCATTTCAGATCTTAACTTGCAACGAAACAGTACACCTTTTCAAAGTAAGTGGCTCTGTTTCCTACTGCCTTGTGGTGCTTTAAAATTTGACTTCTAGTGTAAGTACTTAAAGGAGTCACTATCATGTGACCCAAATGGAGGTGAAGTGTTTGAAAACAATGCAGCTCTATAAAGCTCCCTTTTTATAGGGATTACTTGAAATTCAGTTTGTCTCTCAAATGGAGGGATGACCTCCAAAGTCAGCAACAGCTCACTTTTCTAATAGCATTAAGACTCTGTCTTTTAAAATATGCTGTGCTGTGTTGGACTGAATTAGTGCTCCTCCTTACTCAGGACCTTTTGGAGTTAGGAGTAGAAATTCTGATTTCCTGTAGCATTTGTTATCTGAGGTGCTGTGTGCATGCCCCCCAACACACCTCACCCCTGCTCAGATGAGGCACACCAGTGTTTTCTGGAGAGCAAAGCTGGGCACTTGGGCTTGGCCTGAAGTTGAATATGGAAGGAAATTCTGTGGTTTCTAATATCCAGGAATCTTTCTGTGCTGCAGTAACAAAGGGGGAACAATTTTGTCCTGTGCAAAGTAACCCTTTTAAAGAATTTAATGATACTGTGTAACTAATGATAACTAAAAAGGGTTGAGGAAATTGTAGGAAATCTCTATTCCAGGCTTGTACAGAACCTAAGGCTGAATTGTTAATCTGCTCTATAAACCCTCCTGTGCTCTGCTAAAGAAGCAGCTTGTGTAATGTGTGTCCTGTGCCATTTACTCTTTCCAATTAAATTTTCCTGTTCAGGGCTGCCCTCCACTTTTAGCCTAGGTACAGCTTAGCTTTCTGAAGATGACAAACCTCTTAACAGAGGCTCACTTCTGCTGTCTCCAGCACTTGCCCAGCTCTGGCGTGTGTGACACTGTATCAGAACAGTTGCTGTTTCCTATAGTGGTGAAGGCTTGTGGAAAAGTATCTAAGCAGTTACAGCAAGGAAGCATCTGCTCATGGCTATAATTAGGCCATCTACTTTACAGAGCATTGGGGGGAACAGTGTTAAACAGGAAGGGAAGTTGCTTGCCTCCTTGTAGTAGTGAGAGAATTGAGAATTGAAAGTAGAGGACAAGCAGCAAATAATTGGATGTAAACATCCTTACGACTACTTCTCTGGGAGTAGGACCTCAGTGATTAAAAGTTGAAAGTTTCATGCTTCACAAATACAGAAAATGTCATTCCAGGATGTTGAACCTTCAGACAAGAGCCCTATCCGGTTTGAGCTGAGTGCAGAAAACCAAAATGCAGAAACTGAGTTCTTCAGCAGAGTTTGCAAGAAACTTCCTATTAGAAGGTAAATCTTTCAGATCTCATTTATGCACAAAAATTAAATCTTTATTGGATGAGGATTTTTTTGATCTCTGCTATGTCAGGTGTCAATTTAGCTGTGTATACAATGATCTTCCCAATCTAAAATTGCATATGTGCTTTTATTTATTCATAGAGTTAATATTCGTCAAGTAAAATGGTCAAGATGACCATATTCCAACAGAAACTACTTGTAGTTCTACTCTCGATACTGGTAGTTGTAATTTATACAGTGGATGTTTCTAAAAATGCTTTCTTACTGATGGAGCTTTGTTCACTGTATTAAACTTCATGTCCTTTGAAGCAAATCTCTAATTGAAATCTACTTAAGTTTCTAAAAATTCCTTCTTCCTTCCAACTCTCCAGAGCTGTAAGCCCTGCATAGGTAGAAATGTGAGCATTTTTAAGAACTTCACTTATCCATCAAATTTTTATTGATAAGATGCTCTTTATTTTCCTTTAAACAATGTTAAAAACTTTATTGTAGCACTCCCTATCTTTCTAATATAAATCAGTGCTTTGCTGTTTTAATGTCCCTTAAAAGGGGTGTATGCCTGAGGAGTGTGGGGAGCGAGGTTTATTATCTTTTTGTCCCAAAGCAGCATTTGTATTTTTAGTATCTGATCTTAGAACTGTTTGCTGTGGGAACTCCCTAGCAATCCAGGGAAGAAATGCATAGTGGCTGCTTCTTGAAAAAATGATGCTGATGCTGCACTGTAGATGGCACAGTGAAAAACGTGGCAGCAGTAACATGAATCTTCACATCTGACAAGCTGGCATTTTTCATTTGATTTCTGTTGGTTTTAGTTCTTCCCAAGGCTGTTCACCCAGCAAGTTGTCAGCCAGCGATCATGACTCTGGTGTAGAAGATGAGGATTTATCCCCCAGACCAATTCCAAGTCCTCACCCAGTGAGTCAACAGGTAACTAAGTAAATAATTGTTCCAAGCATCTCAGATGTTACACTTACAGCAGCAAAACTCATTGTAAGGGGACTGGAGAGCATTAAGCTTCTGTCTCAAAGTGCTAGCAGGGGAAAATGGAACTGAAGAAATGAACCAAGAGCCCCAAGTCCTGTTCTAGTTAACTTGCCTTTTTTCAAGGATTATAGGTGCTTTAATTCTTGTATATGCTAGGATTTGGGAACGGAGCTAGAGGGTTCTGCTTTAGAAATTTTGCTACCATTAAATGGAAGAACTGTGGTGTCTGAGGCCAAGGTAGAAGCACCAAACTCTTGTGTGTTTCTGAGTAAATGAAACAAAGACCTGTTAGGCTGCCCTTTTTTACTGCAGCATATGCAAATATAATGAAATAGCAGCTTTCAATACAGCACAGGCCCAGAAGGATGTAATAGCTGTGGAATATAAAACATGTTCTGTTAAACCTATCTGCTGGGTCTAAGAATAGTAAGAGAGAACATGTAGCTCGCTTCTTGAAGGAGTAAGATCCATACTCTGAAATGCACTGCAGGATGGCACAGAACAGTCATTTGGTAGAGGTGGCTATTATGGCGTATGAAAGCAATTTTATCTTCTAAGGATGTTCCTAGAGATCTTGCTGCTTTTTCTGTATCTGGGTTTTCCAGTCTTTAGAAGAGTATTCAATGTGCCGTTAATTGGGTTGGAGCTGGAAATGGTCATATATTGTTTTTAAATGAAAACATTTTCTTAGATTAAATTCTGCATGTGATTGGCAGAAAGACAGTATTGTAAAATGATCTTAAACTTGCTTGTGTAATGTCCCTTCAGCTTACCAGGATCTTTCCTTCGGTTCCTGAATTGTCCCTTGTTTTGGATGGGAGTTTCATAGAATCAGGACAACTGTCTAAGCCTACGGAGACTTCAGTTGCTAAAGGTCTACCCTCAGCAGTACATCAGCCTATTAAAAAGAAATGGTGCTCAGGATCTGCATATTACCCCACCCAGCACTCTGAAGACAAGCAAAACTTTCCTGCTAATATGGGAGATCCTTCTCTGAGACAATTACCAAACCATTTAAACCAGAAAATTCCAACTTCAAGGCCTTCTGGAGGAAAGCAAGTTCTACCACAGCAACAATTGCCCTGTAAGAAAGCTTGTACTCAGTCAAGAAAAAGTTCTGGATCTTTGTCTCCTTCAACCCCTTGTAGTGGGCCTTCCCCAGATACATCCGTGCATCACCCCAGAAAGCCTTCAGAAAGACTCGTGTTAAATCCCAACAGAGTCACACGGCATGGAGAGCCTCCCATTAGAAGAACCTCAATACCTGGTTCCAAGCAGCTTCCTGCTGTTATTCAGCCAGTCCTCTACAACTCTGCATTTTCACCACAGAGCTGCAGAAGACCTCCAGAGATTCAGGTGCAATCTTGCTGTCCAGCCAGCACATGCAGCTGTCAGGTTTCTGATTCTTTCCAACATGACCCGATAAAGTTGTGGCAAGGAATTGGTAAAATGAGCCCCAAACACGGAGTGGAAATCCAGTCAGAGGTGGCTCAGGAGAACTTGTGTACAGTTCTTCATCAAAACATCGTGTGCCCAAATATTTGCTGCAACCCAGGATATACCACGAGCAGCCCTATAAGCATGGGCTGTCATGGGAAGATGGGGACCTGTTCTTTTGACAACAGCTTATCACCTGGAACAAGGCTGCTTTCGAGTGCAGGCCCCCCCGGTCCCCAGTTCTGTGCAGCCCACTCGCCGTGCCTGTACCTGCCCGCTGCTGCCACCGGAGCAGACAACGGGATGATGGGCTTATCTCCAGATGCATACAGGGTCCTGACAGAACAAGACAGACAACTCAAATTGCTTCAGGCCCAGGTGTGTGGAAGCGGCAGCCTTCTCCTCTGCCCTCTTAGTGATGATAGTTTCCTCTTAGCTTTGATATTTCCCTACCAAAGGAATTAAATTAACTGTTGTCTGTCCTCGTTGGAACAAGAGCCTGTTGTACTAGCTGCACTTTGGGGGTGAAGGGGGGTCCTAGTTAGCTCTGCTAATCAGTGTCTCATAAAACAAAACTATTCAGCTCCTGATTAGATTTTGCATTTGCTTTTATCATAGTTCCGTAATGTGAAGGATTCTCTTTTAGCAGGTGGGTTTAGACAGCCTATCAGTTTGCATTATATAGAAATGCTTTCCTGTATATGCTTGTCTATGTAAAAAACTTACTGCCTGGGCTATAGGCTCAAATTATTGGAAGCATACAAGTGAAGCACAGAACATCCCAATGTGTTGCTTTGCCCACCTTCAAGCCTGCAGCTTCCTGAGCTGTTGAGGATGGTGCTTTGAAAACTTCGGCTGTGTATTTGCAGCAGACTGGAAGGATTCGTCAAGTTTATTGCTGTGCTGGAAAATTGATCCTTGGTGGTCTCGCTAAGTTCCATTTTGGTACAAGGTGAAGTTTCCTCAGACTATCAGCTTCTTGAGTTACACAGCTGACCCTGTATTTTGCAGGGTCTGATTTGGAGCTGAAGAGTCTGAGTTTAGATTTTGCTGCTGGTGATGAATGATATGAATAGGAACATTTCTCACCATATGTATTTTTCATGCTTAAACTAAAATTACAGCTGAAATATGCTCTAGATGTAGTTGCTCTATGTCAAATCAAGCTTCCAAAGCATGGGTTGTGCTTGAGGGAGGGGAAACCCCCCTGACTGCAGAAATGCAGCCTCCACTGTTTGGAGTTTCTCTGTGGAGCTGTGGACTAATCAGTGAACAGTGTGGCTGCAAATGCTCGTGTGAAGATTGCCTGGGCAACCTTAATCTTATCATTTAAGTGCTTAGTTTCCTAATTAATACCAAGTTGGTTTAGGGTGGTGTAGGGACAGTTGGCATATAAGCACTTGGCTGGTGAGTTGGTAATAGGCTTTGTAAGTGAATGAAAAGGACAGAAAACTCCCAACAAGCGTAGTGCAAATAGGCTTTGCTCAAGTTGGCTTGCTGTAGTTCTGCCAGCATGCTCAAAACCTCTTCTTTGCTACCTCTGCCAACACCAAAACTGAGGTTTTGGAGAACAGCAAGGTTGTCAGACTTCTGTGGCAGTGCAGCCTGGATTTGAATACTGATGCCTGATTTAGTAATTTGCTTTTGTCTATTCTCCGTTATTGTACAAATCATCCCACTCTGGTAACCGTTACAGATCCAGCGCTTACTGGAAGCACAGGCTGCTGGGGCTTGCTCCCCTGCCCCAGCTGTGGCCAGCCCTGCTCTGCAGCCCGAGAAGCAAGGGGACCTTGTTTCTATGGAAACCCAGACCTCGCCGGGTGCCCACCCAAGGAAGAGTGCGAGCGTTGCTGTCAGCACAGGTAATGCTTGAGGCTTTCAAACAGAGAGACTGGCATAGATTTTTCTGGTGTTGCTGTGATTGCCATCGTGGGAGAAATGATTTTTCCAATAGCTGCTGTAAAGTCCTATATTTAAAATTGTGCCTTACTGAAAGGAAAAGTCCACATTTTTTTTGGAATTAATACACTTTTGAAAAGCAATAGTTTCTATCCCATCTAGTGTTCTATTAAATACATTATTGATGGTTTTTGTAAGAGTGGGGACTGTATTCACTTTAATTTTAGCAAGTTAGGCAGCTATGCCTATAAAGTTACATAATAATGTATTGGTTTCTGTTAAATCCATGGAAATACTGTGGTTAGTCTGGAGGAAAAATTCAATTTGCTTTGGAACAAACTAGGACTTCAATGATGTCTTAGCAACTCCTAGCTGTTCTAAAGCCCAAATAGCTTTCTAAAATAGTAAGAGGGGAGAAAAAAAAAAAAAAAAAAAGAATGTGAGGAAATGGTTCCTCTAGCTTTACAAAGCCAAGGGGACTCAAAAGATAGTAATGACTTTCCTGTAGTGGATCAATCTCTAATTCTTTTCTAGGTGCTAGCTTATTTTGGAACACAGCCTCAGAAAAACAAGATGATTCCATGCTACAAGGAAAAAAAGAGGATGGAGAGATTTCTAAGGAAGACATAAGCATTTCAATTAATGCGGAACAAGATGCAAGTAATACAAGTATTGCTTCTTCCTTAAAGGTGGTTGACATGCCCAGCTTTGTAGACAGCATTCATCTTGTGGAAGAAGGAACTAATCGGAACACTCTCCAGTAAGTAACCAGAAATATCTCCGTGTTAGCATAATAAGCTGAACTGCCTTTCATAAGTTACTGCTTCCATAATTATTTTTTTTTCAGGAATTACAAATAGCCACCTGACTTCAGCTGTTGTGGTTCTTTCCTTCTTTGTTTTTTAATTATGCTTCGAATTGTGCAGCTCCACCTTTGAGCCTGCGTTTATCAGCTGTACACATTTAGCTACCCACCTGTCAGCAGCAGCTGATGGCACAAGCCTTTAGCTTGGAAAAGCAGGTACAGCAGGTACAAAAGCCTTTAACTTGGAAAATGGCAGTGTTCCCTTTCTTACCTCAAATCCTGAAAGCGAAAGGGGACAC